CCCCAAAACCCCAAAACCCCAAAACCCCAAAACCCCACGTGTTATTTATCGGATTGAAATTGCGAAAATATTATTCATTTCAAAGATGAAATATAAAATCTTGTGACTCTTGCTCCTCATTCTGGTAGCATACTGCCAGAATGGAGAGCAAAAAATTGAAGGTAGGCATTTTAACAATTTCCTTGGCCACAACAACAGGGCCATTAAGCATCCAGAAGCTTTCGCATTTAACTTGGGATTAGCACAAAAAGCTTCCTCATCAAGTTCAAATGACGGCAAAGATGATCCCTCTACTCATAAGAAGGATGACAATTCATCTCCTGAGAAGCTACTAAGCTCCCCAGTGTTCTCAGAGTACTATCACAACATCTCATACCCATCATGGCAATGGGTAGATTGGACGAGAGAAGGACTCTTGATATCTCTGACGACCGACAAGCCTGTGTACCAACCAGGAGACACACTCGAAGCGAGGGTTTACTTCTTTAATTACACTGACAAATCACCTATCGCTTGCGATCACTTTGCACTCAACTACGACATCCTTGACTCAAATGACAATGTTGTTCACTCCAAGAAAGGAAACTTTGGAAATACTTGTGATGGAATCGGAGAAATCTTTAAGTACGAAATTCCTGCTGAAATGAAAGGAGGTGTATACTACATCAAGGCTAATGACTACTCCTCCCCAGCCTCAATTGTTAAGTTCAGAGTGAGGGAATATCACCAGAAATCTCTTGTCTCATTTGACTACTCCCAAGAAAGCTATAGTCCAGGAGAAGATGCTGAAGGGAAACTAACAGTAAGAAGTACAAATGTCCAGAAAATTCCTAAGGGAGCTACATTTAGCGTAAAAACTGCAGCTGGAGAGACTAAGAATGATATTGCTATTGATGAGAATGGATCTGGATACTTCTCAATCCACATCCCTGAAGACTGGAGTGAGCCCACCATGTTCATAAGCTTCACTCTCCATCTTGGTGAAAAGGAATCTACCAAGACTGATATTCTCACGATAATCCAGAAAGATACAGTCTATATTGAATTTATTGCTCAAAGTGGGCCTCTAGTACCAGGAACTTGCCAGAAGATTTACTTTGAAGCTTTCGCTGACGACAGCAGAGCTGAGCATGTCAACATCATGAACTCCAACATCTACAAGAACTCCAAAACTGAGACTGAAGAAGTTGCGGTCCCACTCATATCTTCTAAGTACCATGGAAGAGGGGATTTTGAACTTTGTACTGAAAAAGATGCGACTTATGCCTTAAGATACAAAGGTGTCGACCACGTGCTAAACCCTAAAGAGTACAATGAAGCCTTTAACTACAAAAAGATTGAACCTAAATCTCAAGTTGCAATGACTCTGATGAATCCAGTGATGGAAAACAATGAAGATTTGAGCCTCACCATCCAAAATGCTGATTCTGACAAAACAGCAAACCTGATGCTCTCGGTTTACAACAAGAAAATCCTACTCTACAGCCAGAAAGTATCTGTCGGAGCTTCTGAACTTAAAGTAACCATCCCAAGCTCTGAGATAGATCTTCCAAACGGTGGAGTGGTATCTATCAGCCTGTATGAACTAAAGGAGAAGGAGGAAAAGAAAGATGAGCAGCAAAGAATCTACTATCATCCTCAAGAATTCCCATATATCACAGTATCAGATACCCTGGCCTTCATCCTCCCCTGTAAAACTCTTGAAATCAGAGTCCAAACTGACAAGGAATCCTACTCTACCGGTGAAGAAGTGAATTACGAAATCACCGTTCATGATCCAACTACTGGGGCCCAAGTTGATGAAGATGTCTATGTTGACTTGAGTGTCACAGACCTGACTCCATTCCTTGAAATTGAGAACAAGAGGCAGCCTGCCTCCTTAGTGGCTTCTGTATATCTCCAAAAAGAGGTCAATATAACTAAGGAATATGAATTCCTGAATGCGAATGAGTACCTGAACTACCTCTACACCGGAGACAGTTCTGATAGCGACGAAGCCAAGGAGAAGATCGAGCTCCTCCTCGGGACTCAGAAATGGAGACTTTACAAATTAGATCCTAGCATCAAGAATGAGGCAACCCTTGACCAAAGCTATGACCTCAATAACCTGTATCTGAACAATAGAGGACCAGAGATTGTCTTGATGGATATGCAAATGGAAATGATGCCAATGATGGCTAGGAATGCACCAATGCCAGTCATGTATAAAGCTAATATTGAAGAAGCTCCTCCTGCTTTAGAGATTACTGAGGAAGAGGCTCCTGGATCAGCAGGCTCTGATGATGAAGATACAAGCGATGGTGAAGATACTAATGATGACATTACTGCTGAAAGAGTTAACTTCAAGCAAACACAACTTTATAGTCAATTCGTGTTAGCAGAAAAAGGACAATATAAGGGATCTTTTAAGCTAGGCGACCTTATCACCAAATTCAGGTTTGATGTAAACACTGTATCCAAGAAGGGAGTGTACGGAATGCATCAGTCATACTTCAACGTCTTCAATGATTTCTATGTTGAATCAAACATCCCATTCTTCTTCACTAACCTTGACAAGATTGAAGTGCCACTGATTGTGCACAACGGGAAGGACACTGATCTCCAAGTTGACTTATCTGTTGCTACTTCTAACAGAATAAACGCTTTGGAGTACTCTCTGTCTGAAGACAACACTATCGTCCCAAAGAACTCTGTAAAGAAGGTAATCATCACCTTCAAAGCCAGAGCGATTGCTGAAGATGAATTCAAAGTAAGAATCACTGCGAAAGCAGGATCAGACATCTCAGACAGCTTCATTTCAACAACAAGAGTTATTGGAAGAGGCTTCCCCGTGACTAAATCCCAGAGCGGATTCGTTGGTAAGGTCGGGGATGAATTCAAGAAAGATTCTGAGCTCGAGTTCAATCTCCCTAGTACCTTCGAAGCAGGTTCACTGGAACTCCAAGCAAAGTTGTATACTAGCCAGATCGGAAATATCCTAGATGCTTTAGAAAAACTGATCAGAGATCCCCATGGGTGATTTGAGCAGACCTCTTCAACTACATATCCTCTCGTAATGGCTTTGCTCTTGATGGAGGCTATGCCTGAGAAGAACGATAGAGTAACCAAGATGATCATCGATAGCAAGCAAAAACTCTCAGATGGCTACCAAAAATTGACCACATTCGAAACAGATACTGGTGGTTACGAATGGTTCGGAGAATCTCCTGGTCACGAAGCCCTTACCGCTTATGGTCTTATGCAATTCAACGAGATGAAGCAAGTCTTAGGAGAAGTCGACCAAGGAATGATCGATCGGACTACTGACTGGATTCTAAGCAAAAGAGATGGCAAAGGAGGCTTCAATATGAACTCTCACGGACTCGACTCGTTTGGCAGTCCCCCACCAGACCTTTCTGATGCTTACATCTTGTGGGTCTTGACTAGCATTGGTAAGGATATTGATTTGGAAAAGGAGATTAAGAAAAATATTGAAAAGGCTAAGGCCCAAGGAGACTCTTACCTCAACGCTTTGGTGGCAAACATTTTATATAATGTGAACAGAATTGAAGAAGCCAACCAATTTTCGAAAATGCTTAAAGAGAGCCAGGATAAAGAGACTGGTGAGGTCCAAAGAAAAGAAACTAGTATTACTCGTTCATCAGGAAAAAGCCTTAACATTGAGACTACTGCCCTTGCCACTCTTGCATGGATGAAGGATCCATCCGGACAATTTTCAGATTCGACAGAACTCGGCGTGAAGTATATTGTTGGAAATGTCCAAGATGGCAAGTATGGATCAACCCAAGGCACAATCCTATCCCTAAAAGTTCTTATCGAGTTTCTTAAAAACTCTAAACTCGAAGGAAGTGGCACTTTTGAAATATTTGTCGACGGAAACAGCGTTCAAAGCATTGACTTCAGTAAAGAAGATGATACTCAGACTATCGAGTTCAATGAGAGCTTGCTAACCCACCTCCAAACTAACTTAGCCGCATTCAAAAAGCAATCTGACCATAAGATAAAAATCGTACTGAAAAATTTCAACGGGAATGAAGAAAAATTCAGACTGTCGTACTCGATCCAAGCTACATACAAAGATTTGACCCCAAAATCAAATCCAGACTCAGACCTTAAATTCTCTGTTGAGACTTCAACCGTGCTTGACACCGCAAAAGTTGGTGACATTAGCACCTACAATGTCAGACTCCAGAACAAGGATCAAGATAATGGTAAAGGAATGACATTAGCAATCGTCAGGATTCCTAGCTGCCAAGAAATTGACTACAACTCATTGGAAAGACTTCAAAACGAAAACAAGATTTCCTACTTCGAAGTATTCAATGGCAACTCAGAAGTCGTCCTATACTGGAGAAGTCTCCAGCCAGGGGATGTGAAGGAGGTCAGCTTGTCAATGACTCAATCTTACAACTCAGATTTGTGCATCACAAGACCTAGTAAGGCATATCTCTACTATGATGAAGATGGATCTCAAGTATGGACTGAGTAAATCATAAAATTCAACCTGATTTTATTTATACGGGGTTTTGGGGTTTTGGGGTTTTGGGGTTTTGGGG